ATAAAGTTATGATGTTTAGCAATTAATTGTATTATGGTGTTTATTTGTGCCAAATCAAAGTAATGCATATTGAGGTGCAAGGAAGCCACCATTTGGACAGTTTTATTATTATTATTATTATTATTACTGTTTCAAGAATGATAGTATTAAGTATTATTATTATGATTAATTAGCAAAGAGAGGCCAGAAAACTTGCAATTGTATTATTAGTTTTAAAAGCCATATATATAAACCGTATTAAACCTGCAATTTGTTTTGGTGATAAAAATTATGAGAATAACCATGTATTAGTATATGTATACTATTTAAATTTATTATTACTAATACTAAGTAAGTCTGGTTTATGTCTGGCTTTGTTGCAGTCTTAGTCTTAGTCTGTAGTCTGTCCCATTTAATATAATAGCAGTATTACAATTTAGTAATATTAAAGTTTAAAGTTATAGTAACAGTAATAGTAATAGGTGAATTTAGAAAAGAAACTTAACTCATTATTACACATGTTAACACTAAACATTTATAGAATATTATTAATAACGTTTGGGAAAATTTTGTTTTAGTAGCACAGTTGTTACTCATGTCAGAATCAGATGGACTGATTTTTAATTGCATTCTTAATTATAATCCACATACTAATACCAAAAATTAACTTGCGTTTTACTTACTGTAATATAAATTTGTTTCATATGAAATATATAACATATGGGGCATATTAATACTGCAACAGAACTAGACAAAGTGAAAATTTGATTGTATCATTAAATATAAAGTTGCTAGAGCAATTAATTTATTATTATCTTTGTTTGGCATAGTTGTGGTCAATGTCTCAGTTTATTACAAAGCCTAAAACAAGGGCAAATACAAAGAGAAAATTGAAGGATTACGTAACTGATATTGGATTAATGAATCTTTCAAAGTGTTCTAGATCAGATGCTACTACAAGTCATATACATTATCAGACATCCATTGCATTTTTTGACTTGTCAAGTGAAATTTATGGCGTTTTTTTCAGACTCAACACAAGTTATGGAAGCAACCTCATCAACTGCAACTGTACAACCTGCACCTGCTTCAGATATCACAGAACTCCTAAAAATAATGCTGAAAACATGGGCAGAACCTTGTAATCTTCGGAGTACAGAAGCACAAAAGGAATTAATCACAAGAATGAGTCCTCATGTTTACAACACAAAGAAACCTGGCAACCCATAACACTGGATAAGAATGACTCTGAAGCAGAATAAGGGTTAAGTTAATGAGGAACTGATGAAAGGCATAGTAATAGTTGGTGAGAGTTTTGTTAAAAAAAGTGATTAATACTAATAAAGAAAGTTATGTTTTATTGTAAATGATATTATTTCTGATGAAAATCTTCTAGCAGGATAAGTCAGTAACTATTTCATGCATTGAAAGCAAATTACAAAACGATAAAATTTATACTGTATATAGAAATACCCGTATAGTTATAACGGTTCAACCGAACACAAAAAAGCAATGCGTTTCTTGCAGATATGTTGCAATTGTGGTTGTTCAAAATAATTCCGAGAGAAAATTTGCCAATTACGTAAGGCGTTTCAAGCTCTCTCTAGATCTGAACAAGATATATTTTTAATGGCCCAACTGAAAGCAATGAATGGTGGAGAAATAACTGCCAGTTGGCGTCTTAGAAAACGCGTACTAATAAGATAACTTTTTATTATTGAGATCGCAATACGCCACGTTGTCAGAAAACATGTTGGGAATTAGTCGTACCCATTTCGAAATCATCTAGAAATGAAATGGCATAATACCACCGCGATGGAAAACCAAAATAACCATCGTCGCTACTGCTGTGAAGAATTTTCTCGAAAACTATGCTGAAATACATGGACTACCAAGTCCCGGTAGAAATGTTATCTAATTGAATTACGCAATCGCTTACATTATTGCCAGCCGAAACGAGTTATAAATCGGTCTATCGCAATTTTATTGCTGGTCTCGAAAATGATAACACATTGAAATTGTTAAAATATGACGAGTTCCGCAAGCTATGGGCACCAATTAACACATTATATTCAATTTATGAGTCCACGAACGGATTTATTTGACATGTGCCAACATTTTCGGAATGGCTTACAGTATAATGCACGTAAGAAAGAAGAAGCGAAAGATTTACTGAAAAAATTTAAAGAACATCTAGTTAAACTTAAATTTGAGAGAAATTGTTACGACAAAAATACGAAATTAGCAGAACAACAGAGAAAATGGGTAGATGAGCAGTTTATATTAAGAGGAAAGCTGATTATTGTAGCATTGACGCGACTGCTCATTACAGTTACGACTGGGCACAAAACGTTTACGTACCCCATTCCGATCAGCAGATAAGTAAAATTTATTATCTCAGTCCGCGTAAAGTACATTTATTTGGTATCAAGATGAAGCGGTCCGCGAACAAATTAATTACGTTCTTGATGAAGACGAAATCATTGGCAAAGGTCCTAATGGTACGCTGAGCCTGATATTCGATGGAATTAAACGATTGAATAAAGGTGAGAAACATTTAAAGATTACTTGCGACAACGCGGACAGAATAAAAATTATGCTACCATTTGATTTTACTTGTATTTAGTAATTTGTGGCTACTATGAAAGTGTCGAATTAAATTTTATAATACCCGGGCATACTAAATTTAAATGTGATGGTAGTTTTGGATTAATTAAGAAACTATACCGAAAGACGACCGTAGATTGTGTGAATCATATTGAGGCTGTGAAAAAATCGAGTACTAGTACAGCAAGGTTAAACAAAGCTCAGCGCCATGAAAACGGCAAAGGGAATTTTCTTTAAGAAATTGAGTGGTTTACAAAAATATTGTTCGAAGCAGCCAAACCTGGTATTGTCAAAGCTCAAATGGTTGCTAATGGGGCCTTTGTATTTGCTGAATTTAATTTGTTAAAAACTAGAAAAACAAGTGTTTCTGAAATTGTCGAGGAAATTAAATCGGTTTCCATCTTAGTACTTACTAACTCCTCCCCGTTAGATTACAAAAGACAAGAATATCTTTATTATAATATCCGCCCATTTGTTAGAGATGAATTTAAAAATATCATTTGTCCCAAGCCTGTCCCAAAATAAATTAAGTATAAGTAATTTTTCTACTAAATCAAAAAGTGTTAGATTACATAACAATAATTAATGCTTATTTCTCTTAATTTTAACTAGCTTAATAACTAAGAAAACTACAGTGCTCCACAGCCAACTATTCAATAAACCTTTGCTTTCTTATTTTTGTTAAGTTGGTTTTCTAATTGGGTTGAGGAGTTTTAGATAATAAGCATCAGGATCTCAGCAATGTGTTCATTTCAAAAGTGCCAATTGGTTGGTTATTTTTGTTAGGCCCTTCTCCGCGATTTTTACCTCATTATTTTTGCAGTTTAAATTTAGGGTATACAGTATAATTCATTTTCCTTATAAGTAGTGCTGAACTCATAGCCTTCTTTCTTTTCTTTTTCTATTAGTTTTTCCTGCATCTCCTAGTTTAAAACTTATAAGAAAATTATGGCAATTAATTCCCGTTTCCATTTTTTGTATCAAGCCTTGTAATACTTTACTAGTTGGTCTCAAGTTTCTTGATCAATGGCATTGATATCATTGGGTAAGTGTTCTTTAGTAGAGATAATTGTATACCAAAAAATGTTTCATTACAATTACATTACTTTTTTCAGCAATGATAATATCAGCAGTAGGTTATAAACCATTTTTAGTTAACTCTATTTGTTCAGGAGTAGCAGGGACATACCCAATGTTCCATATTTTTTTATATTTAGGAACTACTCATATGTAAAATGTGGTATAGTTTGAGTACTAGTATCAAGTCTTCCGAGGGGAAAACCAATTCAATACCCTGCTGGGTTATAGACTTTGCTTATTTTGTTAGTTGTATTCTTCAGTGTTGGTAAAATTCTTCAGGAGATACTTGGTGAAGATTGTTGCAATATTTTTTGGTTGATATATTAATATTACAATGCGCTTTACTATTTGGTCGAATGTTGTAAAGGAAAAAGTGTGTTTGCTACTACTACATATTCACTTTCATACATTCCTTTTTCAAGGAGAACTACACTATTGCAGCCATCAGTTTTTGATCTTGCTCACCATTTTTAATTTCTTTTGAACAATTGGTGCACCAAGAACAGATATGATTTTTACTGTCTTCACTAACTTCCCAATGAAGATAGATTTTACATTGGGAAAAATAGTGTAAATTTTGTCACATTTTTATTGGCCATGCTTATTTAACTGCTTTACTCTAAAAGGTCAATCATCTCCCTCTTTATTTTTGATTTTTCTGAAGCTTCTCTAAAAATCTTTTTTTTTTCTCATTCTGTGCAGTTAGACAACAATAAAAATGGGTAACTTTTTTCTCTTCTTTATCTAGTCAATTAGCAGTTAAACCTTCTTTTTCGTTTCACAATTACACCTTTTTTTTTACTCATGATCTTTTATTTATTATTAATACTTTAACTATTGCTGTTATAATAATACAATAATATTTCTCTATACATAATACAGTCACATCTTTATACAATTACCACTTTGGAGTGTAACAGACATGGTGATTATAGATATAGAGAGGTCCAACTAAATCATGATAGCTGCCAGTAAAACAATTAACTTATGTTTGATACCAAATTAATAAATGCAACTCAAATTTATCCATAATAATAATATCAGATGGATAATTGATCATAACTGACTCCCAAGTATCAGATATGTAATAGCACAAACTCATATAACTAGCAACAAGTTCTGTGGCCAATTCAGTCTGGAGCACAACATCAATACATGATCGTGGTCCAAGGACTGCAATAGACTCTGGTATTGAGTATGTTTCTTCATGATCCAATCATCAAAATCAAGACCTCCAATCAACTTGCTAACACCACCCCACCTTGTACTGAGATACATTCAAGCCAATGCCAGCAGCTCTATGATAATAGCTGAATGCTTTTGTGTCGTTTTTCTCAACTCCTATGGCAAACAAGAATGTATCGCCTAAGCGATGTAAGGCCAGGGCATATTTCTAGTATCTTTTCAGGACTTAGCACTTGCTTATTTGTGTAAGCATCTGTAGTTTTGAGCAATCCACCCCAAAGAGGCCGCCCATAACGAAAGAAGTATTGTGGTGATGCAATTTGCGTTAACGTCTTTGGTTCTGTTTCTTGTGTCATGAAAGTGTCTAATGTGGCAATATGATAAAATGCATAAGTTATCAGCATTGCAAACAACATATCAAGTTGCTATGGATGGACGAAAACAGATATGATAACATAACTATGTCTATCTTTCAGATGATTTAAAATACAGCCTTAGCACAAAATGCCTATTACGTGTCGTGCTGTATACATTCAAACTATTTTCCCTTCGTTGCTTCTACTCTATTAACCCAAACGTATTGTATCTTGCTTATTTGCCTTTCAAACGAGTTTACGTATAACCTAACCTTTGCTATGACTCTGCTCTATTACTATGTCTTGCATGTCATAATGCATTTCAACTATCCCCCCAACAAACGTGTATTCATTGCTTGCTTACCTTGTTGTTCTCTAAGGTATTTCTGATATGCTTCTCTGATCTCAACCTTGTTAGCCTTTGGGTTGGTTTGTCGGTAGTTGTCAGCGAAGTCAAGTAGATCCATATTGTCAGTGTTATGAGAGGGAAAGAAAAGAATCGTTTTGAAATTCATCACGAACTGGTATCCGCCAATTTTAATATTACGGATAATACGGTCAACCTCCCCTACAGTCACACCTATGGCTGTATAATTCTGTTATTTTATATACACTTCCCTACTACTACCATAAATTACGGGATTTTTGTCACGTGGGTCAAAAATTTGATCATTCACACAAGGGGTTTTTTTTCTTATACCTCCATACCGTGCAAATAAAATACCATCTTGATAGTTAAATTTTCTGTTCTCCTGTTTATTTTCGATTCTTAGGACCATGAAAAGAGCTTTCAACGAACAGCGTGAGCGTATAATTGGCGCATATCTTAGTAATGTGAAGCAAAACGTTATCGCCAGTCAATCGAACATATCCACTACACAATTAAACGATACAAGCAAACAAACTCTGCGCAATACCCAAGAAACGTCCTGGGCGCCCAAAAACGCTTACTGATCGGGATAGACGGGTTCTACAACGCATAGTCCGGGAGGATAGGTTTGCCTCGCTTCCCGTTCTGACAGGTAAGTTAAATTCTAGTCTTGAGACTACACTACATACTAATACAGTTAGAAGATATCTACACGATGACGGTATTCGAAGTTACGCTGCTAAAAAAAAGCCACACTTAACTAAAAATCAACCGACAAAGTCGATTAAGGTGGTGTAGAGAAAAGCGTAATTGGAAAGAAGAATGGAAACAAATAGTATGGTCAGATGAGTCAAGGTTTACTCTCTTCAAGTCAGATGGTCGGGTGAAGGTGTGGAGGAATAGTGAGGAGGCTTATAACAAAGACTGTATTCAGCCTACAGTTAAATTTGGTGGAGGTTCAGTAATGTTTTGGGGGTGTTTTGGTCGGCATGGGATTGGTCCCTTAGTATTAGTAGACGGAAACATGGATTCCGATGCTTATATTAACATTATAGCTAATCATTTCATACCCTGGGTGAGGAATTATCCCAGTTCAGTCTTTCAGCAAGACGGAGCACCATGTCATACATCTTCATACAGCACTTGGTGGATGTCAACTCACGGTATTCAAGTTTTAGATTGGGTTGCGCAGAGTCCTGACCTTAATCCGATTGAGAATCTTTGGGATCATTTAGACCGTCAGATACGTAAACGAAACCTTCTGCCAAACGAAGCAGGAGTTAATAGCAGCGATTCAAGAGGAATGGAGGAATATTAGCCTAGAGATGTTGCGAAATTTAATTACAAGCTTACCGCACCACACAGATGCAGTTATCGAGGCTAAAGTTGGGAACACCAAGTATTAGCTTTTGACATTTGAAATTTTAATCAACCATAATCCTGAAAACAATTGTCCTTTTGAAGTTTGGGATAAACTTCCAAAGGCCAATTGGAATCTACAGGAGGAAATGGTCCGATATATGGTACAATGTATACAACAATAAAGGCTTTAGTTTGTCATAAAGAATTTTCTCCGTTGCTTGATAAGTCTAAAAATTGTCAATGTCGCTTAGAAAATATGCAAATTTCATATTTATTCCAACACGTGACACAAAAATCCCGTAACTTATGGTAGGGTAGTGTAGATGTTATGACCCGTTCTAAGATTTGACCCGTTTCGGGATTGTCGCTTTAGAATAATCTCTTGCACCAATAAAGTACACAATTTATGTGATAACGTCGCAACAAAAAATTCATATACTTGCAAGTCACTAACAACTATGCCTACATTGTTTGGTTTGCTAACGGTCGAACGATCAATCGTAAGATTAAACTTCTCATAAAATAATTTGCCATATCGCTATGCTTCACGTTCGGATGTCGCCTAGCATATTCACAAATTTCACGTTTATTTTCTATACTCAGTCGAGATCGTGTTTTATGTGACACGTGCCAACATTTTCGGAACGGCTTACAGTATAATGCTCGTAAGGAAGAGGAAGCGAGAGGTTTACTAAAAAAGTACAAAGAACATTTAGTTAAGGCTAAATTAGAAAGAAATTATTACAACAAAAATACGAAACTAGCAGAACTACAGAGGATATTGGTGGATGAGCATTTTATAACAAGAAGTAAAGCTTATTGTAGCATTGACGCAACTGCGCATTACAGTTACGATTGAGCGCAAAACATTCACGTCTAATGAAAAACAATTACAAGATGAGATTATTCAAACAAAATATGTTCGCTTGTTTGCCTTCCGCTAACGAATGAGGATGAAAAACATTTTCAGCCAGGACTCCATTCCGATCAGCAAGTAAGTAAAATTTACTATTTCAGTCCGCGTAAAGTGCATTTATTTGGTATTCAGGATGAGGCAATACGTGAACAAATTAAGTACGTTCTCGGTGAAGACGAAATTATCGGCAAGGGTCCGAATGGTACGCTGAGCATGGTATTCGATGGATTAAGCGATTGAATAAAGGCGAAAAACATTTAAAGATAACGCGGGAGGGCAAAAATAAAAATAATGTCACTATTTAATTTTATCTGTATTTAGTAATTTGTGGTTATTACGAATGTATCGAGTTAAATTTTATGGTACCAAATTTAAGTGTGATGGCAGCTTTGGATTAATTAAAATGCTTTATCGAAAAACGACCGTAGATTGTGTTGATCAGATTGTTAAGGTGGACTAAACAAAACTCAGTGCTATGAAAACGGCAAAGGTTTTCAATTTAGATCTTAATTCTGTGTTTGCTATTTTCTTTTAAAAAATTAAGCGGTTTACAAAAATATCAACATTTTGTATTCGAAGCAGCCAAACCTGGTATTGTCAGAGCTCAGCCGGTTGCTATGGTTCATATACTGACCTTAATTTATTGAAAACCAGAAAAAAAAGTGTTTCTGAAATTACCAAAGAAATTAAATTTTTCTCCATCCTAGTTCTAACTCCGCCTTCTTTTGAATTATAAAAGGCAAGAATATCTTTACCTTTGTTAGAGACGAATTCAATGATATTACTTGTCCCAAACCAATCTATACTGATAATGAATAAAAATATTTCAGTCAACCGCAAATTTTATTACTTTATTAGTTGTTGTTTGTTTCTATTAATATTAAATTCTTTATGATTTGATCTTTTAATTATTAAAATATAATATAAAAATTAAAATCATGACAAACCAAAACAATATTTTAACCGAAGAGGAAATAAAAAAACTAATTGGTAATTTGAATCGAAATCCAAGTGAAGCAGATATAAGAGCAGTTAAAAATTATGTTTGACTTCGCCCCCAACATTTACAGTATTTAGGAGATAAAGGATTTAAAAAAAGTTTGGTTCGCCTTATTTATTTGTATCACAATGCAATGTCTTGGCGAGTGAAATCTAATAAAGAAGTTAAAAGTTTACAGTCATTAACAACTAATTTAGAGCAAGCGAGAAATAAATTGCTTGAAAAGAATAACCAATGAGAAGCAAACTTAGAAGACAGAGATAACGTAATAAAGAATTTAGACGAAAGAGTGAAAATAGAGCAAGAGAAAGCTGAAAAAGAGCGAAATAATGACGAGAATAACAACTAACAGACTTAGCAGGAATAAAGCAAGATGAGTTATTTAAGAACTTAGAAAAAAAAAGAGAAAATTTGTTTATGGAGTTGAAAAATAAGTGGAACTTGTTTCAGTAGATTTAGAAGATGCTCTTTAACTTTATGAAATGGACACTAAAAGGCGAAAACGAGAAATTAAAACAAGAATTAGCAAAAAATTTAAAAAATTTAGAGGATATCAAGTTAGAAAACGGAGAACAAAAATTAAAAATTAGTCAGTTAAAAGGAAAAATATATTACTTATTTGATAAGCCTTTACCTAAACTAAAATCTTCACCTAAAAAACGAAACTCTTTCCAAAGTTAGGCACTAAGATTAAAACTAAATTCCAAAAACTCCAACAATTGCCAGAAAAGAAGAAACAGCAAGTTCACAATTTATTGCACGAGCGGAAATAAAGACGAGTAAATAGTTTATGAGGAAATTAACTTATGTAATATGTGGTAGATTACAAACTACATTAGACATTGATTCTGGTTGTCATTGTATTAGGAGAAAAAAATATAGAAGAAAAAGAACTCCCAAATTTGCCTCATGAAAGAGAAAATACATTTGCTTTTTATGAGAGACAAATAAAAGGATTGCAAGAAAAGTTAACTTTAATGGAGGAAGCCTTAGAGAAGATGTAGACAAATACCATGAAATGTCTGAACGAAGAGGCAAGGAACAAAAAAAAAACTTTTGGATAGGATAAAGAGTTTGGAAGAAAAAATTAAGCAGTTAGAAGAGGAAAACAAATTATTGAAAGGGGCAACAGAATGATCTAGTTGCTCAAATTAAAGTTAAAGAACCTAAAAAATGATTTTGATTGAAATTAAGGAAATAATTTAAATTTCATAAGTAACTTTTTCTTGATCTAAATATTCCTGGAGTGTTTGGGTATCATTAATTTTAAAACATAGGGAGCAATTTTTTCACCTTGAGCTTTTTTTATAATGCTTCGAATAGTGCTGTAATTCTTGGGTTTCATGATCGATTTGATGTAAATTAGTTTATATCAATGTTTTTATACACTACCTGGACAAAAGTATCGCACACCCAAAATTTATTAATTGCACAAAATTGTACATAATAATTTTGTTTCAAATTTTAACATTTTATACTTTAAACAATGAATTAACTATATAAATCAATATCTAGTAGGCCAGCCATTGC